TGATGTCTACCCGACCCTAAACCCTAAACCCTAAACCCTAAACCGTAGGCCCAAGAGTAACGTAGGAATAAGCAGGGCATCGCTGTACCACAGTCAGCCTAGGACCCAGCCGCCCAGCCCTCATTCCCATCTGTTTTGGGTTGGGGTTTCCTATAAGCCCATCGAGAGCCAATCAAGGGCGCCCTGCTTATTCCGGACTTATAACTTAAGTTAGGATCCTTACAAGCCAACCTAGGATTCTTTATAACTCTACTTATAACTAGGGGGGGCCCCTCCCAGTGGCAGCCCACATCGGCTAGATCGTGTGTCCTTCCGGACGAAATTTCTGACCACATCTGACTGGTTGTGGGCTTGGCGTACCCTAAGGGCCCATGTACCCATATCGTATATACCTGGGCCCTAAAGGCTACCATATAGGAAACCCCTTTAAGGCCCTCCGAAGACATGTAAGCCCTAAACCCTAGACCCTAGACCCAAAACCCTCAACCCTCAACCCTAAACCCTAGGCCATGCAAGCACAGGCCAGGATGTGGCGCAGCTTTGAGGACTACAAGGTCTGTGCATCGTACACAGGCGAGACGCGTTTTTCTGGAACTTCAGGAGGTGTTAGGAGGGGCCGGAGGATGCCACAAGGTTATTCAGCATCATCGTGACATTTTGTGTTGGCCGTGTTTGGTGAGGTGCAGGGTTAAGGGTTTAGGGTGTAGGGTTTGGGGCCTAACTCCTTTCGACCTGTCAGCACCAAAGAGTTTGAACTGCATCATGGCCTGCGAGGGGATGACTGGCATCGATGCCCGCGCGCCTTGCTCGCAAGAGTTGGGGACGCTTCATATGGGTTGTTTCCTAGCTTTATTGTTAGGGTTTAGAGTTTAGGGTTTAGGGTCCCTTCTTGGGTACCCATGATCAGCCGGCACCCTTAACAAGGAATCCCAAAAAAGTGACCATGGTTTAGATAACTACCCTGAGGAGCCAGGCAGGAATGTACCAAGCTGGAAGACTCAGTGGGTGTGATCGTTAGGGGTTTAGGGCTGGGTGCTGAAATTGGGCCACAGTCAGGTGTGAAGAGACGCAAACACTGAAGAATTTCTGGACGTAATGCATGATAGTTGTGCAGGCACGACTCCTATGGGTCCTGCATTGCGAAGAAAAGAAAAGTGTCAGCTTCATGTTTCTCAGCAGTTGTGACTCTGAACTTGGCACCCGCCCAGCAACTTGGCCTACAGCATGAACATGTCCGGCGCCTTAGTACTAGAGCGGGTAACCTTTAGCCTACTGAGCGGGTATTATATTCCCTATGAAATCCCAAAGGTTAACCTTTGTTTTTTTCTAGGATACTGGACAACTAAGGTACTTACTTGCCCTAAACCCTAAACCCTAAAAATAGGTATTCCTGGGACTGAAGGCAGTGTGCAGACCCCAAATCGTCGCGAAGCAAGGCCCCGAAACCACACCCTGGGTGCCGAACGTTTAGGGTTTAGGGTTTAGGGTTTAGGGTATAGGGTATAGGGTATAGGGTTTAAGGTTGAGTGGCCTGCAGGAACTACGTATGATGCCGCTGCCCGCGTGCTGAGTTGGAACCTGACAGCCTGCGCAGACAGTGGCCAGGCGGGCAGTGAGAGATCATAAGGAGCCTTACTTGGAGGTTCATGGGTAGTTATAGGTAGGGTGGTGTGGCCCCCAAATGGGTGTCTAAACAGGTTTAATTCTCCCTAAACACGAAGCACAGAATATGTTGTTGAGGGTTTCTTAGAGCTTCAAGAGAAGATGTGCCTGCTTCCTCTCTCGACAGCGTCGTCGCAGTCAGCAGTTAGCTGTGGTGCTTGGCGGGGGGCGCCTGCGTTCTGACTGCCACTGCCACTGCGCTCTGCGCGCCCAGATGCAAAGAGGATTGTCTAAGTTTCAACCCTAAACCCTAAACCCTAAACCCCAAAGCGTAGCACCCCAATCCCTGCATGTCCCTAAACCCTGTAAGCCCTGAAGTCGTATATCGCTAGGCATCCGAAGCCCTACTACTTAAGCCCTCAACTCTAATTAAGCCTAAACCCCAGACCCGATTGAGGTTGCTTTTTTGCCTACTTTGAGCCATACACCCTCAGCCGCCTGGAGTCACTTCTGAGGGAAGCAGCGGCCGCCGGGGCAGAGAGGAGGACAGGGTTTGAGATCCTAAACCCGAAGCCCTAAACCCTAAACCCTAAACCCTCAACCCTTAACCCAAACCCTAAACCTTAAACCCTAGATCCTAAACCCTAAGACCCCCTAGACACATGGTTTAGGGTCTGGGTGTTTAGGGACAAGGGCGTCTATTGTTTAGGTTTCGGCGTGGTCTAGGGTGTAGGGCTTTTTGGAGGGGCCATGTATCAGTCGGACGGATATTCAGGTGAGAGTCGTGAGGCAACCTCAAGCCACTGGGCTTAGAGCATGGCGCCAACTTTCGCCCCAGGCTCTTAGGATGTAGGGCTTAGGGTTTTAAACCCTAAACCCTAAACCCTAAACCCCTTGTATGGCCCTCGAACATGCCATTTCCCTACTGCTCGACTTCGGCTTGACAACCCCCTCAGGCCCTATAAACCCTGCAAAAAGGGTTTAGGGTTTAGGGTTTAGGGTTAGGCAAGCTACCACAGGAGCCCTGAAGCAAAAAGGGTTTAGGGCTTAGGGTTTCCTATAAACCCTCTATACCCTGCAAATATCCTTAAACCCTGTAAAAACTTTCCAAAACCCTCTAACAGACCGTCATATGAAAACCCTGTACTCTATACGCTGTAGAAATCCTAAAAGCCCTGTAAAATCTCGCACCCCCTACAAACAGCCCGAAACAAAGTATTACAAAAACCCTCTACACCTTGAACACTTGCGCTTGGCCCCCTGGTTCTTAGTAGGGAATGAGGGAATGACGCCCGATTTAATCCCTCAAAGGGCGTATCTATAGGGCCCTCATTCCCTCATACCCTACTAAGAACCACCTAAACCCTAAACCCTAAACCCTAAACCCTAAACCCTAAACCCTAAACCCTAAACCCTAAACCCTAAACCCTAAACCCTAAACCCTAAACCCTAAACCCTAAACCCTAAACCCTAAACCCTACCCCCGAAACCCCAGCCAGTTGGGAAGGACAGTCGGTCACAGCACAGACGGCCGCAGCATGGACTCTGGGATGTGTTGGCTTAGCGCTGTGAAGGGGCCCTTGGGCAGGTTTTGGTGGGGTTTAGGGTTTAGGGTTTAGGGTTTAGGGTTTAGGGCTTAGGGCTTAGGGCTTAGGGCTTAGGGCTTAGGGTTTAGGGTTTAGGGTTAGGGTGTAGGGTGTTTAGGGTTTTGGCTTTCGCTTTGGGGCCTTGCAGTTTTGGGGTTTAGGGTTTAGGGCTGAAGGTGTAGGGTTCTCTGAGACTAGTCCTAGATACCCGTTAGCACACAAAGTCCACCCGACTCGCCCTCCCTTTAGCGAAACCACAGAACACATGGGTGCAAGGCAGAACAAGTTGAAACCCTAAACCCTTCACTCAACCCTACACCCTAGTCCCTAAACACCCTAAACACCCTAAACACCCTAAACACCCTAAACCCTAAACGTAGACCTTGCCGAAGCTCTGCAGCCCTCAACCTACACCTGGGTACCCCAAAATCAGCCCATAATCCCCATCAACCTTCAAAGTACATCTAGGTCAAAGCCCCAAAAAACTTCAACTTTTGAACCCTTCAACCCCAACTCTTGAGGTCCCCCCAAACCCTAAACCCTAGCCCTAAACCCTAAACCCTAAACCCTAAACCCTAAACCCTAAACTCTAAACCCTAAACCCTAAACCCTAAACCCTAAACCCTCGAACGAATGGTATTACCGGTATTGGTCCCTGCAACGTGGCCTGAGTGTCAGCTAGGCGGGTGGCAAAAAAAACCCTAAACCCTAAACCCTAAACCCCCACGTCTTCAGCATCCCCAAAGTCTTTGAGGACATGCTCTGGATCCCGGCTGGCCTGGTCCAACAGCCTCCCGGTGCGACTCCGCCCGTGGGGTTTAGGGCCTCCGGGTTTGTAGGGTTTAGGGTTTAGGGTAACCAAGGGTGTAGGGTTTAGGGTTTAGGGTAACCAAGGGTGTAGGGTTTAGGGTTTAGGGTAACCAAGGGTGTAGGGTTTAGGGTTTAGGGTTTTGGTTTAGGGTTTGGGTTTTGGGTTTAGGGGGTTAGGGGGTTTGGGGTTGAGGCTTGAGGGACCCCAACCCCAAAGTGTAAAGCAGCTAATAGACTGATCTTCTCCTCTGTGTTTGAAACAACCGTTGCTCAGGACCGCCGGCCAAGCCTGCAGCAAGTGTTTTTGCAAGCAGCACAAAGGAAAACTCTGCCACTCGTCGACATCACCTTGGAAACTTACAGTTCAACTTGTGCTATTCGCCCACTTACACCCACTGCATCTGTATGTGCAGAACGTTCAAATCTTCTGAAATGGGGGGTTCCGAAATTGGGAGGGGGGGGGGGGTGCCTTCTTGGGCTCCTTATCATAAGGGTCCTACTATTTTGGGGTCTATATTAGGGGTCCCTTATTTTCTATATTAGGGGTCCCTTGTTTTTGTAAACCTCCAAATGAATAGCTCGTGACCCGAAGACGACAAAAGCCGCCGCTGCCAGACTGGGGAACTGGGGATGCACCTACAGGGGGTGTAGTGGGCTTAGACTGTAGGCTTGGGGTGTTCCCCCTCATATTGACAGTCCTTAACAGGGACTATAGTACCCCCTATTATATTCCCTGTTCAGGACTGTTAGTATAAGGGGTAACATCCCAACTGTAGGCTTTGGTTTAGTTTTTTTTTTGAGAGGGGGGCGCTGGTTTCTGCATTCGCGTTTTGAAAATTTCTCGGTTTCGCAGGGCTGCCAGTGGGCTGCCTTTTTTGTGGCGGAGAACTGCGCCGTTCATCTGGCTTCAGTTTCGGTAGTGACGGAGTAGTGACGGCAGTAGCAGTGCTGCACTACACTCGTCTCAGAGCGGTGGCCAAAATGCCGTGCTGCTCTCGCAATATGATGGGCCTGCTTTGCAGCAGCTGTTGTGGGCTCATGTGGTTGGGAGGTGGCATTGCAACCCTTGCCGTGCTCTACGGCTCTCGTGCCCCACCAAGGCAGATGTGCTATGGTCAGTTTGACCCAGTGATCTTCCTACACCGGGGTAACTTGACTCATGGGCAAGAAAACACACTCAAAAGTGTCGTTGCGGGAGCCGCCGCCTTGGGTGCAAATCCTGAGATCGACGTCATGAGTACCTGGGTTGCAGCTGAGAAGCGTAAACTAAGATAGCATCACAAGAAAGCCCTACGATTTGCTGCGCACGTACAATATATATATATATACACACACACCTCTTGTTGTGAGTCTCTTAAAAATAGCCAACCCCAGGTACTTCTGACAAGGTTGCCATCATTCACCACGACGACAGCTTCGTACGCATGACCGGAGTGGACAAGAAGGTTGACGCCACGCCTTGGTCAGAAGTACAAGGCCTGACAGTCCTTGCGGAAGTGGATGGCTACGACTATGGCACCTATATCCCCCTTGGGAATTATTTTTGTTTATATAAAACCCAAGAGGATATTGAAATCATTGTTTTTTATTAAGGTTCTAAGGGGAGTATAGGCACCACGTCGCGCGTGCCCAGCCTTGACGAGACTGTGACCGATGCGTGCGCCAGCAACCCGACAGTTGTTATCGACTTCGATGTGAAGGACGATGCATCTGCGGAAAGTTCGGTGGCTGCCTGGGAAAGCTCCTCTTGCACAGCAACTTGGTAGTAGAGTGGGTAGCCTTTGACCTTTTTGGGGTAGTAGATTCCTTGTAGAATCCCAAAGGTTAACCTTTAGTTCCCCTAGGATATTGGACAACCAAGGCAAAGTCTTCATCGATTTTTGCCACAGGCTTGCCCACAACGGGACGGCTCATGGTGAACAAGTTGGAGGAAGCAGGCATGACCAACCATGTCTCAGTGTACTTGCACCCAGGCAGTTACGGACCCCTGGGACTGTACTTCTTTTTGAAGACACTTCGGAGCTGACTGAGTACACTTCACACTTTTTGGGATAGTGTAGCTCCCTATAGAACCGAAAGTGTCCACTTGTTTTGGGGGCAGAAAAACTGAGCAACTAAGGACGGGCATCTTTCATGCAGCCGCGGGTGCGTCCATCATCAGCCTCCACAAGACTGTGTGGGACGTGGAGATGGATCTCATCACGGCCTATGAAGAGATGGGGTACTGCACTGCCATTTATGGAATCCGACCAGAAGAGATGTCGCTTTATCCCAGTGCCTCAGTAGAAGACTTCGGTAGCCTTCTAACCTTTTTGGTGGTATTCTAAGCCCTGTATAATCCCAAAGGCTAGCCTTTTTTTGTGTTTCCCTGGGAACCCTAAACCCTAAACCCTAAACCCGAAACCCGAAACCCGAAACCCGAAACCCGAAACGATACTGGCCCCTAAACCCGAAACCCTAAACCCAAGGTGCTTCCTTCTACATCATCGATGAGGGACCATACTTCCCTGACACTCCCAACGGCCAGTACCTTGGTCATAGTTGGGTAACTTTTTTCATTTTTAAGGGTACTTAAAAACCCAATAAGGAATATGTAACATTTTACATTTTTAAGGGTACTTAAAAACCCAATTAGGAATATAATCTTAGATTCTTAGTACGACCCCAACCATGAGCTAGGTATGGCGGGGATGGGGGAACCGAAATCGTTACCTACGATGGGGACCAATCCGGCTTCAACGGTTTACTTGCCCTTGGCATCATTTGCTTCCCGATGCTGTTTTTGAGTTGGGCTTGTTGTTGCTGTTTTTGCTGCCGTCTCAAGAAGAGCAGGGCTGTGCCGTCTCAAGAGTAGCAAGGCTGTGCCAAAGGCTGTGCCATCACATGATGTGCTCGGGATCATCCGGGCGTGTTTTCAAATCATCCTTGTTGGTACTCTCTCACTTGTTCCGAGTGCCGGCGTAGCTGGCGCAGTTGCTGTCCGACAAGTGGACAGCGCTGTTGGTCTCGGCATCACGACACCTGCAGAACTACGAAACAAATGCGGATAGAGAAAGGGGTACAAGGAGGGGCCCCCCCTAGTTACGAGTAGAGGTATGGGATGCTAAATTGGGTTAGAAGGATCCTAACTTAGGTTTTAAGTCCCTTAACTATAGTTAGTATAATCTAACTAAATTAATTAAGAATAATCATTTTGACTAACTTACTTAGTTAAGGGTCCCCTCCTTGTAGGCTGTCTCAGGGTCCCATGATCGGTTTAGGGTTTAGGGTTTAGGGTTTGTGGGGGGATAGCTCAAGGAAGGTAACATTGCAGAATGCAGTCGGCGAGCAGTCGGCTTGAACGAAGGGCTGGCATACAGGGGCAGTGCTGGATGACCTGAGCATCTTAGCCTTGAATTTCGCCAGAAAATCTGGACCTGTGTGCGCATCACCTTGTTTGTGGAAGTTTCCAGGATGGGCTATTGGGCCCTATACTCCCCACAATCAACCCTATAAAGGACATTTTTGGGGGGTTATAGGGTATAATAGCCCGTCCTGATTCTCTCGCGGAACATCTCGAAGCTGCGCGCTGCACGCCTCACGCGCCTGCGGCGGACGCGGGATTGAGCCGATGTGCACAGCAGGGGGGCTGCGGAGTTCCTGGCTGCCCTAAACCCTAAACCCTAAACCCTAAACCCTAAACCCTAAACCCTAAACCCTAAACCCTAAACCCTAACCACCCGCGAAACCCTAAACCCTAAACCCTAAACCCTAAACCCTAAACCCTAAACCCTAAACCGTGACGCAGGTGGGCGATGCATCGTGTGGATCACTTGTCGGCAGCATGCAGCTGAGACTCAGGCTCCCGGCCAGTCAAGGTAAGTTGAATTTTACCCGGGGGGGGGGGGGGGGGGGTTAGGGTTTAGGGTTTAGGGTTTAGGGTTTAGGGTTTAGGGTTTAGGGTTTAGGGTTTAGGGTTTGCAAAATAGGGGACCTCCAAAATAGATCCCCCTTGAATGCAGGATTTCCTTGTAATAAGGACCCCAAACCCTAAGCCCTAAGCCCTAAACCCTAAACCCTAAACCCTAAACCCTAGTTTCAGGAACCCCCAGATCGTGAGAGTTTCGTCCGGCTTGTGTGCCAGTGCAACCTGACTAAGTCAAGCCAGGCTCAAGCGCATCTCTACAAATGCTAGAAGCCCAGGGTTTCGGGTTTAGGGTTTGGGGTTTAGGGTTTAGGGTTTACGGCCGAGCCCGAACAATGAGAATGCTGATGGGGGCTTACACGTACCGGCTTGCTTAAAGTTTGGGGTTTCGGTCGTGGAGTTTTCTCGCCCCTCTTTTGACACTGCCGCAGTCCCACAGCCACAGCCTCAAGTCCAAACGCAATGAAACCCTCAACAGGTTCATGGTCCATCTACCTCACACGTCATAGGAAGGGATAATCGTATAGGTAATAGAATCCCAGAGTGTCGGGTTTAGAGGGTTTAGGGAGCTAAGAGTGAGGAGAGAGCCCGGGCTCAAAAGGGTTAAGGGCTTAGGGTTTAGGGTTTAGGGTTTAGGGTCGTCAAGGCAAGCTTCTTTGCTGAGGGCGTGGTCCAGTCGTTGCCGCGAGGCTCAGAACAATCTTTGAGTTGGGGCTTTAGGAGGTAAGGGTTTAGGGTTTTGGGGTTTAGGGTAATCCAAATTTCAAACCCCAAACCCCAAGCCCTAAACCCTAAACCCTGAAGTTTAGAGGTCCGGTGATTCCTGCCACGCAGTGCAAGGAGAGACTTTTGGGCACAAGCAGTTGTTGAACTTTTAACCATTTAGGTTTCCTTATGTATTCGGAATCACGAGTTGAACTTTTAACTTCTTAGGTTTCCTTGTGTATTAGGAATTATGAAGTCTAGGCTTTTTTTATTCCTAGGTTTCTGGGGGAAGCAAGAGAAGAAAAACTTCCCAAGCCCTAAACCCAAGTCGTGGTGCACGGGATCACGAAACCTGAGCCCAGTTCCAAGAATCTCAGAAATCTAGTAGTCGGGATACTAGAACGCTTATGGACTCAATAGGGAGCCCTAAACCCTAAACCCTAAACCCTAAACCCTAAACCCTAATCCCGGGAAGTATAAGGTATTCTCAAGCTCCCTTCTGTCTTGGGTCCTACGAACCCCAACAACCCAACGTCAAGCACCGGGCAAAGGGCTCCAGACTCGAACCTGTCTAGGGGTTTAGGGTTTTAGGGCTTTAGGTTTTAGGGTTCAGGGTTTAGGGTTTAGGATTTAGGGTTTTGGGTTTTGGGTTTTAGGGTTTAGGGTTTAGGAGTTTTTAGGGTTTAAGGTTTAGGGCTTTGGGCCTTCTGAGAAGTTGCATGTGTGCCGGCAGCCTCAAAGTTCGTTGCTCAAGAAGGATGCCCAAAGCACGCCCTTCATCTATATCCCCCTGGGGAATTATTTTTTGTTTGTATAAAACCCAAGAGGATATAAAAAAAAAAAAACATTGTTTTTATTGAGGTTCTAAGGGGAGTATAGTCATGCACAGAGGCCGATTTCTTGTGTCCTTACATAGTTGGGGGGTTCTGAAACCTAACTAACAGGTCCTTGAAAGCACAGGGTTATGTTTTTGGCTACCTTCGGGAACCGCCCCCCCCCCCCCCCCCCCCCCCCAACAAAAGACAAAAACAGCTAAACAAACAAACAAACAAACAAAAGTCCAACCCTGAACCACCCTAACCGTATACTAGACCCTTCAGAGCCTTCGGGAGACGAAGGTTGTCACAGCCGCTGCCCGTTGGCGTCATCGTTGCCTTGGTCCCGAATATGAATCCGGATGGAAGCGCGCGAGGCCTGGTTTAGGGTTGAGGGCTGAGGGATGAGGGTTGAGGGTTAGCCTGCCGCAAAAGGGTGTAGGGTTTAGGGACATGCACGAGACTTGCGGGGCCGAAACGCGCAGTAAAGCGTGGGGATCACATGGCCCTGTGCTGCTCACTGATCAAGACTCGACCCCTTTAACCGGGGTTTAGGCTTGAGGATCTACGGGTTTCGGGGCTACGCAAAAGGGCAGGGCTTTCGGGTTTAGGGTCTCAAGGTTTGCGGCTCAAGGGCTTCTAGGGCTTGGGGCTTCCAACTCTAGAACACCCAGAGACTCCAAAACCCCTTAATTAAGCATTATACCTTAAATCAAGACAGGGTTCCCATAGAAATTGGAGGGATGTTCCTGAATTATTTGGTAGTTTTGGAGTATCTGGGCAAGGTACCCCCCCAAAAAATGGGGATTTGGGGAAGAAGCCTCCCGGTAGCCTAGGCAAGTGGACCATGAACATCGCGAAGGGTTTAGGGTTTATAGGGTTTATGGGCTTTTTATAGGGTTTATAGGGTTTATAGGGTTTGTAGGGTTTAGAGGGTTTATTGGGTTTGTAGGGTTTATAGGGTTTATAGAGTTTATAGGGTTTACAGTTTTATCGGGTTTAGGGTTGAGGACAGATTAGGTTCTGCAGAACATGCTGCCCCATCTCATGTGGCGTTCAGGCTTTCTTGCACTGAGATTCCAGGCTCGTTGCTGTGGTCTGCCCCCTCTTCGCTCTTCGCTGCACAATGACTCAATGCTTTTAGTAGTAGCGTGGGCAACCTTTAGCCTTTTAGGGTTTAGGGTTTAGGGGGTATGATATTCCCTATAGAATCCCAAAGCTTAGCCTCACATCTGCTTTGGGTCTGGCCCTACAAGACGGGACTCCGGCCCCTGCGCAGGTCACACGCGCGAGAATGCACAGGGGGTGGACCTCAATCGAGAGTGGCGGCCCAAAGCAAGCTACTCGCAGAATCCTGGGCCGCGATATTGTGGTTTCGTGTTAGGGTTTAGGGTTTAGGGTTTAGGGTTTAGGGTTTAGGGTTTAGGGTTTAGGGTTTAGGGGCTTAGGGCTTAGGGTTTACAACTTCCTGCGGTTGTCGTCACTCTTGCGGGGGCTGTTTTGCTGGTTGTGTGCCACCTGCCTCGAAAGGAACACCAAACCCCCAAAATAATAAACCCTTCAGGGATTCTATAAGAACCAGTACCCTGAACCCTAAACCTTGAGCCCTAAACCTTGAGCCCTAAACCCGAAACCCTAAACCCTCAACCCTAAACCCTAAACCCTAAACCCTAAACCCTAAACCCTAAACCCTAAACCCTAAACCCTAAACCCTAAACCCTAAACCTTAAACCCTAAACCCTAAACCCTAAACCCTAAACCCTAAACCCAAGCCCCCCCAGTGTGCGCCCTTCCAGGAACGGGCGAAGTCCAGAGGTCAGTGCTGTGCAGGCCCTGATGCTGCAGACAGGCCCACCATGGTTCTGGCACTTAGGGATCCCTAAACCCTAAACCCCAAACCCTAAACCCTAAACCCTAAACCCTAAACCCTAAACCTTAAACCCTAAACCCTAAACCCTAAACCCTAAACCCTAAACCCTGTAAAACCTAAACCCTAAGTAGGAGGCCTTAGGCTTCAAACAAGTGTGTGGGCTTTCGGGGCACGCACCTCCTGGATGTACGCCAGACCCCAAATCCTTACAACCAAAAGCATCCTTAATACCCAATAAAGGCTAGGGTTTAGGGTTTAGGGTTTGAGGTTTTGGGTCTTGGGTTTGAATTTAGGGTTTAGGGTCTAGGTGTAGGGCTAGGATGTAGGATTGAGGGTTGGAGGCTGCAGGTTCAAAAGCGGGATTTGAGCCAGGTTTTGGCCGTTCTCTGTCTCAACAAAGGGAGCGTCGCGAGCGCTTTCGTGAGGATTAACCAGAGACTCCAATATGTCCCTTAATGAGGGAACCCTAAACCCTATACCCTCTAAACCCTAAACCCTCTAAACCCTCTAAACCCTCTAAACCCTAAACCCTAAACCGAGTGGTAGGGAGTTTCAGAGGA